CAAAGCATTCGTAAAGTCAGAACCAGACTTTTTCTTGTTGCAAATTTTTTTAAGTAATCAGGAAGTACTGAAGAGTTTAAGTGTACATTATTACCATACTCCAGTAATTTTGCATATGCAATGCTTTACTTCTGCTCAGCTCACACATATAACTCTCAAAATTCCTAATTTGTTCTCCAATTCCATGATCTAAAAGAATGATACAAATTTAACAAACAGGCATCATAACGTCTCTAATATTTGCAAAAACATTTGCTCTGGGAACACCATAAAAAAATGATGCTATTTGTATGAAAGAGGCTGGATTGGTTTTGGTTTTTTTGTTTTAGATATTGCAAGTTTAAAAAGAGGATGTGTTATAATGAAAGGACAAAATCAGGGTCTCTTATCTGCTATTAAAGAATAAGAGAAATCCATACTAGCATATGATGACATGGTCGAGTGTGACACCTAGAGGCCATATGTTAAGGATCCCTAAAAAATAACTTTTTTCAGCTGCAAGTTTTGCACAGCACATTTAATTTTTAAATTGACTTAAACACTGGTGCTACCAGATTTAAAAAAAAAATAATATTTTTGTCCCAAATTTTCATGTTTAGGATATTTTTTGTGGCTTCCCTGGCTGGCCTCTCTAGCACTGATATGAAGTAAAATAAGAGACTGTTACTTAGTCTGGTAAATAGTACTTAATGATCTGCAGCAAAGCCTTGAAGAGCATTGTACACCTTATTCCATCCTGAAGTTCTCAATATCTAATAAAATTCTTGCAGTTCCCATCTCAAGAAAATTATTACAATACACTTGTAACTGTAGTAAAATATCTGCATGGATGTCAGGCTCTCACAAAATGCAGAGCTAGAATTTTTGGCCCGTGAGTTTATGCCAGGGAATGAAGAGAACAAAAGCTTCTTTTAGCTGTTGCATGAATTATTTTGGTCATGGATGTTGCAAGACAAACATGCATGTAAGAGAACATACTACACCTTCCTAACTTTTTTAAAGGTTAGGGTTGCAACCATACCCTTGCATCCCATGAAGGGGATATATCCAAGGGCATTCTAATACAGTGACTGAACCGTATCAGCATGTTACAAATTTAGAGTGCTTTTCAGAAGTACGAGGTACTGTATTATCTAGTGGCCATTGGTTGTAATAAACTCATTATAACTGTAGAGCTAGATGTCTAGGAGATAGGTGTCTCATTTGGCTTTGGCAGCATTCGTTATTTTCACACCTAAGGAAGGGAGAAAAGTCTCGGAGATAAAATGACTAGAGTTTAGATGGAGAGGATTTTGACTTTTCTGCACAAGAAATAAAATATTTTTCATTCTTTAGAATTTGGGGTGGGTTTTTTGTGGTATCCTGGTACTCATGCAGAACAGATGGTTTAGTGGGGTTCAGTTGTAGAGTCCATAAAACATCTTCTATAGATCTAGAGAAATGGACTGAAACTTTTCTAAAGACTTCTAGCTCAACCAGAATCTGAAATTGATGGCGAATGAAAGTGATGCTGGATGCAGCTCTTCAGTTTATATCGTTTACTCTAGAAACAAGTGTGCCCTATATATTTTGTACTCTCTGCATGCTCTTTGACCTCCCTATGTGTAGAAATACATCATCAGATTGTAAGATTAATATGAACACGAAGCTTTTATTCATGGCATTTCATAAAGACAAGAGTGCTAGTGCAGGACTTCCTGGTAGCAGTGGAATACCAGCAGGGTAATTCTATTTGAAATATATATCTTGTTATCATTTCTATTTCCAATTAAAAAAAGGTATGGCATGTTTGTTTTGTCATCCTCTAACTGTTTAATGCTTGGAGATACGAACAAAGTAATTCCAATATTTCACAGTTAACTCTACCTTATTTTCACGAAGGTCTTTGAAGTTAGTAATATTTTTTTCAAGAAAATGAAAAGGTGCTAAGTTGTCAATCATTTGTTTGAGCAGTTTACAGACTTCATGTAGCTGCTGTGCCTCAAATAAAATAGTAGAATCATTTGGTGTGGAAAAGAGCTTTAAGATCATTGAGTTCAGTCATTGACCTAGCTCTGCCAAATCCACCACTAAACAGTGTCCTTAAGTGCCACATCTACATCTAAAGAAATAATTGTATCTGAATAAAAGTCTACCAAAGCTTGTATGTTGGTGCTCTAAGGGACAACACTGACACTGTTAAGTTTGTGATGTGCATACTAATGTCAATTGTAGTTTATTTCTATGCTTTGTCTAGAGGTTTCTTCTCAAAAGCACCTAACTGTTTCTTTGGGAATGTCTAAGCCATAGAAAACTGAATAATTATGATTGTTGAACATATATTAGAAGATGGGTTGCCAGTGGACTGGAAATACTGGTTGCACTGTTAACTGGAGGGAACCCCAGTAGCAAATAGGACAAGGGTAGGAGCGCATTGGATACACTGGGGTGGAAAATGCTAACAAAGCATTCCGGGTAAGGCATGCTGACAGCAGCGGATGCTTACAGTCAGGATATATTCCCTCTTGTGTCCAAAGTCCAACTCCTGCAGTTATATTGCTGAGGTTGGTGTTGGTGTCTCTGTCTTCAGGCATCAGCCTACTCTTTGGCCTGTGGTATCACCAGCCTTTTCCTGTCCTGAGTAATAGTGTATGTACTGCATAAGTGATCTAGTGTTTGCCAAAACCAGCTCTTCAGGAATCCTTTTTTTTTTTTTTTTTTTTTTTTTCCAGACACACAGATACATTTGTATTATTAATATTCCCTCACTTTTGTCTCTGTAACATATTTCTGAACAGTTCTAAATTCATCATAGTGTCTTACAACAAAAAAGATGAAATGTGTCTCTCATGGTTCATTGATTTTTTGACCAAAAAAACTGTAAAATCATTAAAAGTAGTGTGAAAATATTTTATTTTAAAAATCTCTATTTTAGTGGTTTTAAAGAATGTGGTCCTGTAATTGCATAAATATAAGAAAATATTGGAGTGTTTTTGTGTGTGTGCTTACCCTCTCTCATGATACTGCTTTGTTCTGCTGTCAAAACCCACTTTGATTCATTGTGCCAACTACATGGATGATCTGTTCCCTGATGATGTTTCCAGATGATCTGAGTCACGTACAAAATATTCTCAGAGGCTTTCTTTATACATTCATAAAAAATTCTAGGTAGAAGCCATTGTATTTAATAACTCCAAAAAGGTTGCCTTTTCCCCTAGTCACTGTATAAACTTGACTGTTCCTCTAGTGCATAGCTCTGGCTAAAATATTTTTACTCTTAATTTTTCAAAGGAATGTGTAAGCTGTGTTTTATTTTAACTATGCAAGTCAGTAAAAAGCTGTTGCCATAGATTTCCTGATGTTCTTAAAACTTCTTTAAGCCCTTAGAGTTGTAATCCTGTTTTTCATAAATTATGAATCTGGCGTTGTTTTTATTAGATAGAATAAGTCCCTCTCAAGTCCCTCTACCTAGCAAGTCAAATAATATGTGTGTGATTAACTTAACCCCAAATTTAGCTGTAAAATTGCTATAAATCAATAAACTCAGAGAGTATTTTGATTTAAAACAGTGTTTTGTCTAGTTCAGCAAAGCACAGACTGAAGGGGGATCCGTGCTTTCTAACGTGAACACAGCATGATGTAACGTAAGTGAATAAAATGTATCTCCTGAAGTGCTTTAGATGAGGGTACAAGTTCTGCATCAGGATGCCATAAATTTGTTAAGATCATGGCTTTCTGTGTATCCCTTATCAACCTATAATCTCCTGATTGTTGCCTGTTTTTCAACAGCTGAGGAACAGTAATCCACACTTGCTTATCTCTCTTAATCACAGCCTCATGGTGCTAGAGCTCCCTGAGCCTTTAATTCCCTCTTAGAGGCGTAACAGAGTGGAAAGTAAACAAAGACGAATTTGCAACCTTCAACATTGCTAATTTGCTCTGATGTCAGAATATTTAAACAGGCAAGGACTTGGGAATTATTTGATCACTACTGATTTTAGTCTAATGCATGTGAAAAGGCTGAGTCTGGGAAGGTTGTGCAAAATGACAGGCGTCCCAAGAGAGGTTGACTGAGGGTTTCTTCTTTAAACAACAATGGCTCCATCATTTTTCAGCTCTGGGTCCTGTGTTCATGCTATTTGTTTGCATTTTTAATGTAACTTTTTGAATATGATATAGGTTTTCTTGAAAATTCCTCATCTGCTTCCTCGTTTATAGGTGTCAGAAGCCCAATCTTTAGGCTTGTTATTGTGTCTGTTCACTGTGTAGTGGGCGGGAGAGATAAAGATCCCCATTTAAAAAGCTTTGTCTCTCTCCACGTTTTTGTATCATCTTGACAGCCTAATGTATCCTGAATACTTTCATATGTAAAATGATTGATAACTTGATCTTCAAATTATTTTAAATTACACAGTTGATATTTATGCATGTATATATGTGTACATACTTGCTGGATAGGGAAGGATGTTATCTTGCATTATATATTATGTGCACACTTCTTCTACCATGGAGGTGATATGCTTACACATACATACACACTATCATATACATGTATTCATCTTTCCCCAGAGCAAATAGCTATATGTCATTACCTGAAACAAATTTGATAAATAAGCAAGACAAAGTAATGGGGTTTGTTTGTTTGTTTGTTTTTCATACATTCTCTTCCATTTTCCTTTTTAAGGTCTTAATTGTCTGTTTTGTGCATGTGCAATCATTTTTTTGTTGTTTACAGAACAGTTAATGCAGCATACATATTGTTATCAGGATAAATGTCTGATGCTCTCTTAATTATTATATATTGTTCTGTTTATCTCTGTTCTGGTTGAATGACTTGTGTTTCTGAAGCGTGTCTGATGATGATTTCTTCTTTTCTTCTTCGTGTGTATCATTTGGGATATTCCAGGGAGAGACGCGTCTGGGAAGCCAGCCTTTTGCAGTCACTCTGCGCTGAGATTACAGCGCTGGGCTATTTGTGTTTCTCCTCATCCCTGTTTCTCTCTGTCTCTCACTCTCTCCAGCTGGTGTAAATGACTGCTGCTGCCTCCCAGAGCAAGATAACCTGCTCAGTCAGCTGGAGCCCCCTGCGGACAGCTGTCTCGCTTTTAGCTGATGGAAAAGTGCTATAACCACTGAATGGAAGAGCGTGGAGCAGCAACCATACGAGCAGGAGTAGCCGCCGCCGCCGCCGCAGCAACAAGAGCGAGTGAGGACTCTATTGTTCCCTGGTGTTAAACAGTTTTTCCTTTTCAACTGCCATGCACAATAGCGGAAGAGAGGTTTCCAGTCCCTTCCTCCCCGTGAAGAAATTCTGAAGAGGGGAGTATTATTTGAAGAAGGTTTCGTGGTCGTGCTGCGGGTTTTGGAGGCAGCAGCAGGCTGCTGGAGGCATGGGGTTGAGTGAGGGGAGCGCTCCTTTCTGCCGTGGTCCAGGGGTTTCTGCCGTGCCAGCCCGGTGCGTGGGAGTTCTCATGCTTCTGCTGCTGGGAATCTGGGACACTCGTGCACAAAGTGAATTTCAAACTTCATCAGTGTATTTGTGGAAGACCGGTAAGTAAGGATGCTGTGACAACACAGCAGCAGTGTATTTAGTTTTTGTTGTGAGTAATAACCTTTTTGTCTGCTTTGTTTATGTGGAGGGAGAAAGTTAATCTAAATTACTAATGCTTACTGGAAGGATTATAGGGGGAAAAAAATAGGTCATCTTTCAGGATTCCACCATCCAAGCAAATATTGCAATTAAAAAAGCACACATTAGTGACTCCGTGGCACTGTTTCTGGGATCTCTCATGTGTTTTCTGTGTCTTCTGAGGTTTTTCATTTTGTTCACACCTCTGCCTTGTACATAAAGGTCACAGTATTAGTGCCTGTCCACAATAGGAAGAAACGTTTATTACAATCGGAGTCAGCATCATTAACAGTGCTCTAAAAATATTGACTTTTCACAAAGAAAGGTGTAATTCAGCATGTCTAATCTTTGTGCCCTGTGCTGACATGTAATATATTCAGTGTGGTAATTGATGGGGAGTTGGGTTTGTTAAATTTAGGTTTGTTGCACAGTATATAGGACACGTGAAAGCTAATGATGGATTAGGTGAAATAATCCAAGTGATGCCAGATCTCATAACCAAAGAGCCAAAGGCAAATAGGCTGTGTGGATTCAGCACCACAGTAGATGGATAATTTCCTCTACTTTGATCCTAATGAGTTACGTGTCTGTTTTAAGGATTGCATAGTCATAACAGTGTTTCAGCCTTAACTCTGCATTAGAAATCTGTGGGGAATTTTCCTGTGTCTATTAATATATTACATTAATTCAGGACTTAAGCAGTGATGAATATGTGCATTTTAGTTGTCTTGGTACAGTTTTAGTTCCTAGAGTCAAACTCTCCTTTAGGAAATTTAAAAAATACAAGTCAGGAAATATTTCTCATTGGCTTTGTCAGCTTTCTTCCCTGTATGTTGCCAGAAATAAAACAATCCAAAAAGTAGTAGTCTTGTTGAAAAACTGCTTTTCCATAAAAAGGATAATATAATAGCAAGAGAGAGTGCAAATCAATCATTTGTCTGAAAAACAACTTTGAGAAGTCAGTCTCTTTCCTGGATAGAGGGACCCAGCCTTCTGCCACAGAAGCAGATCAATTTACAATTACAGTGATATCCTGAATTTTTTAAGAGGCTCCATCTATCCAGCAGCTCAGGGAGGAGATTAAAAGGAAATTCATTTAAACAAGAAGACAAGCTCTCCAATAACACCAGAAAGAGAAATCTGAGGAAGGGAAAATCCTTTGCAACTTTCACTTCTGACTGAAAGATGGGTTATGCAATGACAGTGACCCTTTTTTACTTTTGAACCATCGAAAAATTAAAAATATAATTTCTATTTCCATTACAGATTTTTAGATGTTCAGCACATGTTTAAAGAGGGATGAAATACAAGCACAGGTTTATGCAAAACCACAGTAATTGTATAGCATTTTCATACAGCATTTTACATTCACCCTCAATTGCTAGGCATCAGTAGAATAAGCTCTCCCAGCATTTTGTCTCCAGTTAATGCTTTAAAGGATTGTATTTAAAATGTTAAAAGATTGAGGATAATAATATTCCTAGTTAACTACTACTTTAGAAGATGTGCTGTCTATTTGCTGTGGACTTACTTTGCTATCCACTTACTTTGCACATAGTACACGTGCTCTGAAGCCATGTCAGTTAAACCAGCAAGCAGAAAACTGGGCTGGCTTTTGTCTTCTATCCCTTTTCTCCCATCCTGGCAAAGACTGCTCTTAAGAAACTTTTGTGTAAATAGGTATGATCTAATTACTTTGCTGGTGAAGAGCTATTCTTCCCTTCAGCTTTTCTTCTGTGAACTCTGTCCTCTGTTTTGCCTGCAGTAAGAAATATTGCAGGCATAAAACATCAGTGATTTGGTGATAACATGATGAATAACAAGTCATGAAAAACAAGAGTGGCTCTTTTCAAATGATGAATGGCAAGATGCTGTGAATAAGGCAATGCATCTCTGTTTGGCTTAAAATAAATTTTTGCACTCTTTTTCTTAGCTGTTTATTGAATTTTTTTGTTTTTCCCCTTCTCTTGTGGGAGGATCTAGAAAGTGAACTGGGAGAATTGCTGGTCAGTGATCTGAAGGAATATCTAGTATAGGATTTATAAAGTTCAGCTAAAGTATCAGAAGTGATAATAAAACTAGACAGTTGTAAACTTATGCAATTCAGATGGTATTTTGCTTCTTCTGTGAGGGAGACAGGGTAGGGGAATGTGTAGTGAGACTTTGTCTAGGAAGTCAGCTTCATTATATGCCTTTTGGGACCAGTTATGTCCATTTTTTGAGAACCATGCTTTTTTTTGTATTGAATTTCATCTGTCTTCAACTTTTGCAAGTGCTGTTTATGATCTGCATCCGTCTGGTTTTTTATTTCTAAAGATTTTTGAAATAATGTCTTGCTGTATGCTACTCCATGTCTTCTGTACTGGTTTACTGCACTGTGTTTTCTTAAGGATGCCCTTGACAATAATCTACAATGGTTGTAAGGCTTGAATTGAGGCATTCTTTCTCCTGTAGAATAATAGTGTGTGTGTGGGTTGTTGTTGTTTGTCTGGTTTTTGTTTTTTTGATTGTTTGGTTTGATTTTTTTTTTCTTGAGGGGTTGGTGTTTTGTTTGTGCAGTTTGGGGGGATTTTTTGTTGCATTAGGTGGAGGGGTGGAGTGTTCTTCAAATATGAAGTGTTTGCTTCCAATCTATGAAAATCTCCCAGGGGTCATGACTTCCTATTTACTACCATCCTCCTGTGTGCTACCATAAAAATTGGAGGTTTTCGCAATGCTCAAAAGTTTAACCTTTTGGGTTCTCAATTATCTTTGATTCAGCATGGACAATGTTGTAAACAATCTGCTTTGAGCAGGGAGATTGAACTAAAACTTACCTCCAGAAGTCCCTTCTAATGACCACCATCTTGTGATATGGATGCCACCACTAAGGCATTTTTACTTCTCCAACTGAAACTGCTTTGAGGTTTTGGCTTTTGTAACTTTTTTTGATCTCTTGAGAGAATGGGTATTTGCTGTTCTGGTGTGTTTAATGGACCTTCAAAGTTTTGGATGGCTTTTAGATGAACATAGTTGATCATAATTACTAGTGTTTAAACTAGGTTTCTCACCAAACATTCTCATTCCATACTGTGCAGACCTGGTGTATGCAATTTATTCAGTTACAAATACACAGCTGGTTCACTTTGTGTGGTCACTGGGAAAGTCATCTTGGGTTTTTTTGACATAAACTAAAGCGAAGTTATGAAACAGCTAGATTCCCAGAGTTGAGTCATGATGTATGTCTGCTTGATGATGTGAGCTAGAGAACAGCAGCTTTTAGCAACTCATGGAAGAGAAGCTGTGGTACTTAGGGCTGGTGATTCCATTGATGTGAGGTTCACACACTGCCAAGTGTTGAACTTTTCCAGTCGAAAAAGATTTTTCATTACCTGTTTGTTCATCAGTAATTGCCTTCTCTCATTCTACTAATTTAATTTGTAATGAATAGTTGTTTGATTCAGGTTCTACACTGCTACATTGAATTTCTGTGAGTACCTGAAATGTTTTAAATTTCGTTCCTATTCTACCTTAACCATTATGATTTTCTTTTGAATTTTACTGAATATTATTGAATTGTTTCTATGTATGCACAAAAAAAAGAAAAGAAGAAGGATGTATCTATGTGCCACAACTCAGAAAAAACTGCATGTGTTAACTTCTGTTAAAATTTATTGTCCAGTTTGTTTTATTTTTAGAGTGATGTTGAGTTTTTTGATCATGGTTCAGTTTATACAACACCAAGTCTGCTGGCAACAAATGGGGTCCACCTGTCTCAAAGCTGGAAAAAGAATCTTAGCTCAGGGCTTGTTGAGAGAGCTTTAAACTAGATTTGAAGGGGGTTGGGAACATGGCCAGGCTCCACAGAGATCAGGTGTGGGAAGGGGAGAACTGTAATGACTGCTGTAGTAGCAAAAGGAAGCTTAAAGAGGGAATACCTCAAGCAAGCACAAGCAGCCTAAGACATAATTACAAGACAGGACTATGGGTCATCCCTTTGCACCCCTACTGTGATATTGACACAGTCAAATAGTTCTGTGAAGGGCCTGTACACCAATGCACACAGTATGGAGAACAAACAGGAGGAACTAGAGGTATGTGTGCAGTCACAGGGTTTTGATCTCAGTGCAGTTACAGTGATGTGGTGGCATAGCTCACATGACTGGAATGTTGTCCTGAAGGGCTACACACTGTTAAGGCACGGTGGTGGAGTTGCCCTTTATGTGAGGCAACACTTGGCATGTATCAAGCTCTGTCTTGGGATGGATGACAAGCAAGTCAAGAGCTTATGGTTTAGGATAAAGGGACTGACTAGTAAGGGTGACACTGTTGTGGGTGTTTGCTGCAGGCCACCTGATCAGGAGGAAGAAGTTGATAGGGCCTTCTGTAGGCAGCTAGAAGCAACCTCAAAGTCTTGGGCACTGGTTCTTGTGGAGAACTTTTACCCTGACATGTGTGGGAGAAGCAGCACAGCAAAGCACAAATAGTCCAGGAGGTTCCTGGAAGGCATTGATAACAACTTGGTGTCATAGATAGTGGAGGATCCCACAAAGAATGGTGTGCTGCTTGACCTACTAACAAACAGGGAAGGCCTCATTGGCTATGTGAAGGTTTGGCTGTAGTGACCACGAGGTTGTGGAGCTCAGTATGAGGTGAGAAGGAAACAGGGCAGAAAATAAGATTACAACCATGGACTTCAGGTGAACTGGCTTTAGCTTCTTCAGGGACTCTTGGAAGAATCCTAGGGGAACAGGCCCTGCAGGCAGAGAGGTCCAAGAGAGTTGGTTGATATTCAAGGATCACTTCCTCCAGACTCAAGAATGATGCCATCACAATGAGCAAGAAATTTGGCACAGGGGGCAAGAGATCTGCATGGATGAATAAAGAACTCCTGTTGTTTCACAAGTGTAAGCAGGAAACACAGAGGAGTTGGATGCAGGGT